GGGCGGGTGTGCGGGGAAGAGTCCCTGGAGGAGAGTGGGTGTGCAAGGAAGAGCCCTCCTCCAGGGCCCTGCAGCACACCCACCCTCCTCCAGGGCCCTGCAGCACACCCACCCTCCTCCAGGGGCTCCTCCCCACATACCCGCCCTCCTCCAGGGCCCCGCAGCACACCCGCCCTCCTCCAGAGGCTCCTCCTTGCACACCCACCCTCCTCCAGGGGCTGCTCCCCACATACCCGCCCTCCTCCAGGGAGGGCCCTGCAGCACACCCGCCCTCCTCCAGAGGCTCCTCCCCGCACACCCACCCTCCCCCAGGGCCCTGCAGCACACCCGCCCTCCTCCAGGGGCTCCTCCTTGAACACCCGCCCTCCTCCAGGGGCTCCTCCTTGCACACCCACTCTCCTCCAGGGACTCTTCCCCGCACACCCGCCCTCCGCCAGGGGCTCCTGCCCTCACACCCGCCCTCCTCCAGGGACTCCTCCTTGCACACCCGCCCTCCGCCAGGGGCTCCTCCTTGCACACCCACACTCCTCCAGGGACTCCTCCTTGCACACCCACACTCCTCCAGGGGCTCCTCCCGGAGCCTGATTCCTAGGGCGCCTGGTACTGGCTTCGGTCCTGACAGTCCTACTTCACGGACAAGAGTGGAGGGATGGCCAAATCCAGGCCCTGTCCTCCTTGAGTCCATGTTGCTCTGACAGTTGGTCTAATTTCCAGAGTGACCTTTTCTCTGAGGTCCACCAGGGGCTCTATGTCTAGGCTCTGGTCGCCATCAAGTCTGCATCAGACTCTCCCTCGGGGCCAGGGCTGCTGACCTCTGTGGCCGGGTGCAGGTGGCCTAAGGCTCCTTGCTGTTGCTGGTGTGGGGCTGTGGGGGTGGGTGGCCGTGGGTGGGAGGTGGTGGCATCGGGCAGAGCGGGGCTGAACGGGGCTGGGTGGGCCCTCTGGATCTGAGGCCGGAGCCCAGGGGGGGCAGAGCTGGGAGCCTGCTGCACGCGGTACTCCCCAGCTGTTTCCTATGGATCGTGTTGGTCAGCGTTTTTGCTGCTGTGACCGAGAGACCTGACAAGAAGAGCTGTGGAGGAGGAAAGGCCCATTTAGGGGCTCAGGGTTTCAGAAGTCTCCGTCCACAGACAGCAGGTTCCATTCCGTGGGGCTCAAGATGAGGGGGACATGGTGGCCGCAGAGTGAGGTGGAGGGAAGGGGCTCACATGATGATCAGGAGCCGAGAGAGGCTCCGCTCGCCAGATACAAATCTATACCCCGTGGCCCCCCAGGGCCCTCCTCCTGCAGCCACACCCCCTGCTCCAGTGACCACTCAGCGAGTCCCATCAGGGACCAATCACTGGTGGGGTCAGGCCCACAGCCCAGTCATCTCCCCCAGACCCTCCCATGTGTTTCACACACGAGCTTTTGAGGGATCCTCACATCAAACCATAACAGATTGATTGATTGGTCATTGATGCTGGGAAGTAAACCTCGGGGTACTTGACCCTGAGCCATGTCCCTCCCCCGGCCCTTCTCAGATCTGAGACAGGGCCTCACTAATCTGCCTAAGTTGCTGAGGCTGGCTTTGAACTCGCGATCCTGCCTCAGCCTCCAGAGCGGCTGGGATCAGAGGTCTGGGCCACGGCGCCCGGATGCCATCTGTTTTAGTCGGCTTCTTCATCACGGTGACCCCAAGGCCCAGCAGAGCCCTGGGAGGAGGGAGACTCGTCTCGGCTCACAGAGTCAGAGGTCTCCATGGTCAGCTGACTCCACGGCTCTGGGCCTGACCTCGTGGCAGAGGGTGTGGTGGAGGACAGCAGCTCAGGACATGGCCACAGGGGACAGAGCGCTCTGCCCACCAGGGACAAAATACAAACCCCAGAGCACACCCCAGGGACTCTCCAGGACCCCACCTGCCTGCAGTGCCCGCCCAGCAGGTCCTATGGGGTAACCCGGGCGTCCCACCCTGACGTCCTGCCCGGTCTCGCCTGGGCTTCCGGGCAGCTCACAGCTGCACCACACCCCTCACGTTGCGTGGCCTTCATGGCCAGCGCTGGTCCAGCAGGCCTCGCTGCCTGTACTTCTCCCGCAGCGACTTTCCTCCGAACCTCAGCTGGCCACGTCCATCCTCCCTGGGATCAAAGACATCTCCTCACTACTCTGCCCTGTGGTTCACGTCCTCAGGTGGAGGCCGGCCCTGCAGGAGGCCTCCCCAGGGTGAGCACTTCCCCTCCCAAGGGGGATGGTGGCAGGAGAACCCCCTCCCAGGACTTGGCCCGCCCGTGGCACTGAAGAAAAGCTGACCTGGAGAAACAGCTGCTGAATTCTTGCACCACAGACCGCCTGCCCTGGGACGTGGGTCATTGTCCACCACAGCGTCTCACGGGAGCCCAGTCGTCACTCCCCAGGTGAAGACCACTGGGAGGCTGTCCAGGAGGCGGCCAGCAGGGGCACCTCCACAGCCACCCCAGGGACCCCAGGACTTGAGAGCTCCCTGTGGACGTCTCCCCCAGGGGCAGGGCAGCAGGGATTTCTGACCCTTGGAGTTGGCACAGTGCTGACCAGAGTTCCACAAAAGGCCACCACCCTCGGCTCCTGGCATCGCTGGCTGATGGAGGTGGCCGGGGCGGGTCCCAGGACAAGAGCACTCCCTCATCCAGCAGCGCGGCCGCCTCCTCTTTAGCAGCCCTCTTGTTGAAGGATGGCTGGAGGGAGATGAGGCAGGCCCAGAGTGATCCCAAGGGAGCCAACTGCGCCCACCTATGGGCAGAGTCAGGAGGGGTAGAGCCCTCTCCTGAGATGCCAGGCCTGGCCAGTGGATAGAACCACGGCTGCCCTCCCGGGGGGCGGCCTCAGTGCCCACACCCAGCTCCAGGACCCTGCTCCATGACACTGGTGGGTGGCACACTCAGGGCCATCAGGGCTGGCTCCGTCTTGTCCTGGGCTGGACCACCCTCGCCCGCTGCGGCGCCACCTTCCTACTGTGTGCTGCTGCACCCCGACTGCGGGCAGGGCAGTGCGGCTGGCGCAGGAACCATGGACGTCCTCCAGGGGTGGGGCTTTCCAAGGTAGAGGGCCGTGGAGGGCCCCCGGGCCAGCTTCTTTCTGAGCCCCACACGATGATGCCAGGGGCCCAGGCTCCAGGCAGGTCCCAGGACATGGCCTGTGCTCGGCCGTTAACCATGCCCCCTCCCCAGCCCCAGTGCTGGCTGTGGCAGGTCCTCTCTGCCAGGCCCCTGAGGCCGCAGGGCCCACCTGCCCTGCCCACCTCGGCAAGGAGACCCGGGGAGCAGGGACTGTGCTGTCAGAGACAGTCGGGCTGCACCCCAGCTGCTGCTCCTCAGAGGCCAGCGACGCCCCCTGTGTGACCACCCACTGTCCCCTGGAGCAGAGCCACAGTGCAGGGGCCAGGCCCTTGGAGCAGTGACAGGGACACAAGGCCGGCCCTGCCCAGATTCAAGACAGCTGGGCTGACCAACACTGTGGGCCAGGGCACAGCTGGCACCTGGCATCCCTGGTGTGGGGTTTCTGGAGGTCAGGGCGCCAGGACCAGCCTGGCAACCCCAGAGGAGGCGCGAACAGCCATGTTGAGGCCAGGAGGGGCAAGGGTGGCCAGTGGCCTCCCACAGAGTGCTGGGCCATCCCCAGGCACCCAGGGGCAGCCCTCGGAAGACGAGGAGAGGGAGGGCTCAGGTGGCAGGGCCTGCGGGCAGCAGGGAGACGATGACCACTCTGCCCAGAGCCCAGGGTCCAGGCAGAATTCAGAGATGGGCGAGAGCAGCCATCAGGGCCCAGCTGGCCATGGTGCGGAGGCAGGAACACCCGAAGCCAGACTCAGGCTCCTGCTGACTGTCACCATCCTGTCCTTGGCCCTCAAGCCTCTCTAGGGACGCCCAGGTCTCCTTCAGGACAGGCCAGCGGGGCTCAAGGCTGAAGGGAGGCCCAGCTTGCCAGGCGTCTTTTCCAGAGCCCTCGGTCACGCACGGGCACTGCGCCCAGCTCCCCACAGCCCTTCCACCCCCAGCAGCTCCTGTGCTTCAGCCCGGAGTCGACCTGCCGTGATGAAGACATCGTCACCTCTTTTTGCAATACCGGGCAGGTGCTCTGCCCCGAGCGGCACCCCAGCCCGTTTTTATTTCATTTTGAGAGAGGGTCTCACTAAGTTGCTGGCCTGGAACTTGGGATCCTCCTGCTTCAGCCTCCGAGTCACGGAGCTCAAAGCGTCCCACTGCACCCGGCTACCTCATTCTTTCACAGTGGACACACACTCCCTAATGCTTCTGGTGAAGTGTGGGTGGCTCCATCACCATGCTCTGTGACAGGCCTGTGAGCACAAGTGTGAGGTCTTGTTCTGCCTGGGTGAGAAGTGCACCCCTCACACACCTGTTAGCACCCAGCGACCGTGGACGTGACACACAGGCCCTGACCATGGGGGCTGTTGGGGGGCTCTGGGCAGGAGGAGGGTGGGCATTTGCCCACAGCCAGGGGTCAGACTTATGTCTCAGGGGAAGCCACGCCTGGCTCACCTGGAAGTGCACACACACACATAGGTGTGCCCCCAGCAACAGCGGCCTGCTGTATCCATTCTGGACAGCCACACGGAGGCCGCCCTGGGAGGATTGGCCAGGGCTGATGCCTGTCATGGAGTGGCCTGTCGGGCTGCAGAGACTGGCACTGGACAGGAGGCCTCACACTGTGGAGTCCTCGGGGGGGTGGGGGGCGGGGGGGACTGAGGGAATTGCTGCTGGAATGTGACAGACCTCGTGGCTGGCAGGGGACCTCGGCCTCCACTGGGCAGCCCCTCCTGCAGGACTCTGACGGTCACTGGGGTGCAGCCCACATCTGCTGCTCGTGTGTTTTTAGTGCTGAGTGGGGAGAGGAGAGGGACAGGTCCCTGTACCCCGCGTAGCGGCAGGTCCAGGAGGCCCCTCGTCCAGGCAGTGGGCCCTGGAGCACACCACCTCTGTGTCTCTTGAGGAGGACGATGGCGCCTTTGACAGAACAGGCCAGATCCAGTGCTCTTTCCGCAGGGATCCCAGAGGAGAGAGAAGTCCAGCGGGTCTTCGGGGCTTCCGGCATGGCCACTTCCCGCATGCACGCACGCACACAGGTGTGCACACACAACGCACACTACACAGGAGCTCCCGGCAGGGCGGCAGCTGGTAGGCCCTGGGTCAGGTCTCCTGCAAACACCCTCAATGCTCCGGCGGTCACAGAGGTCATCCTGGAAGGGCAGGTGCACGTTCCTCCTTCCTTGGCTCTCAGGAACCCCTGTGCCCTGCGAGGCCTGTGCCTGGTTCCTGGTTTGGGAGGAGCCTGGTGCTGAAGCGCAGAGGCTCAGCGGGCTCCTGGGCACTTGTGCGGCTGCCCTGTTGGGAAGGACCTCGCTCTGGGTGGGGCAGTGTCTGAGGCATCTCCCCAGGGTCAGCCTCTTGACCCCTCCTGGCCAGGTGGATCCTGTCCTGGCAGACAACATGGGCAGGTGGCTCACTGTCCCCTTTGTCACCAAGCTGTGTATGATGTTCACCCAGTGGCACCTCAGAGAAGCCCTGTCCCCGTCCTGGGCAGTGAGTTCCTGTCAAACATGGTCTTGGAGGGAAAGAGAAGAGAGGGACGTGAGGCGCTGGCACCTCCTCTGGTTTCTCTCGGTGCTGGGGACAGAACCCAGGGCTTCTCACGAGCCAGGCAGGCACCCTGCCACCAACCCGGGCCCAGCCTTCCTTCCCATCCTGAAGGCAAAGAGGCCCAGCTCCCCAGGACCCAGGAAGACCCTGGAGTTCTAGCAAGTTCTGTTCCGAGGTGACCTGGGGTTGCTGGGCACAGCCTGGGGCTCCCTGCAGAGCAGCCATCACACAGCTCAGGTCCCTGGGCCCCGGGTAAGAGGCCCAGGTCAGGAGACATGCAGCCACCGCCTCAGGTAGAGCCCCGGCCCCTGGTCCAAGCTCCTGCCTGGGGCTGTAGCCCCCGACACCGAGCTCTCCCTAAGCCGGGAATCCACCTCTACTGCTGCTCCTGAGACCAGGGTCACCAGGTCCACAGGGCCACAGAGCTGCCTGCAGGCCACGGTCCCAGCTAGGGAGGGGCCAGGGACACACAGACTCTAGGCAGTGCAGGGGCTAGGGAAGGACCCGGGTGATTGGCTGGACCCTGCTGTATGCAGTTTGGAAGTTTCTGTCGTGTGTGGCATCGGGAAGAGCACACAGGGACAGGTCCTGGCGCTGAGGGAGCCAACAGGAATGCCAGGTGCACCTTTGGGATCTCCCTGCATTTCCAGGACCATCAGGCGCTAGGGCAGACAACTGAGGTTCTGAGTGTGTGAAGGTGCCCCAGCCGTGCCCGCCTGGCGGCCCCTCGGACTGTGTTCTCTGGGGGCAACTCACCTGTGGGCTGTTCCTCCTACCGCACGAACCTGGCACCTGTGGGACGAGTCAGAGAGACCCAGGTGGCGTGGAGGTCGGCAGGCACTGTAAAGACCCCCGGGGCCCAAGCGCACAGCAGCCCCACCCTCTGCCCAGACACTGCCCCGGTCTTGCCCTGGGCAGGAGTGGACTCCCAGGTGAGGGGCTCCCAGGCCTCCTGCTTTTGAGGGAAGAGGCTCTTTCAGGCCCGTGTGTGTCCTGGCTCAGGGGCCCTGTGACAGCCTGCCTGGGCCAGCGGGGGACTGTGGGCATGCAAAGTGTTTCGGGTGGCCACACATGGGAACCCCTGCAAGCAGCTGCCAGGAGGCTCTTCCATGGGGCCCATACTGGGCTCCACTAACCGTCTCCCCTTCCTCTGCCCTCCTGGGCGAGCAGGCAGGGCCTCTACGTGGCCATCGGGGCAGTACTGTGGCCTGCAGCTTCTGCGACTCCATCTCGCCCTGGGGATCTCTCCTCCCGCAGCACAGGACCCAGCCAGTCAGCCTTCCCAGAAATCAACCCCATCGCCGTCTCTAACTTGGAACCCGTCGTTCCCCATGCAGCTGGGAGGGGGCGGCTTCCCGGCTGCCCCTGGGGTTGGCCCTATCAGGAACACGGCCCCTGAGAGGCGGCCGGCCTCTCACCCACCTCCCGGGGGCTGGGTAATGCTTTTAAATGAAACCCACATTTCCGAATTCTGGAAGTGGACAGCCAGGCCTGGTGCGCACCTGTGTAGCTGCGACGGGGACACCTGGTTCTGCACAGGCAGCCTGTGGCCACAGCCACGATCACCACCGCCAGCAGGACGGCCAGGGCGCTGAGGACGGCCGCACTCCCCGCCTGGTGGGGACGCGCTGGGCTGTCTGTCACCATGGCTTCAGGTCCAATGAAGGTTTCTGTGAGTGGGACAGAAACAGCTGTGGCTGGGGGTCCCAGAGGAGACCCTAAGAGTGAGCCCTGCAGGGGAGTGCTCCCAGGGACCGGCACTGGGTGGTCAGCTGTTCCCTACAGTGGGCTCCCCGGCAGGCCCAGCCCTGACACGGGGCCCTAGAGGGGCTTCTTAAATGGAGGTGAAATTCACGTTCCACGGACCCCCCCACAGGGGGCGGGTCAGTGCTGTCGAGTGCTCACGGCAGGGACAGCAGCCTTCCCAGGAAACCTGGTACCCACGGGCAGCCCCTCCTGCTTTCCGCTGTGCCCCACCCCTGGCCCCTCCGCGCCCCTGACGGAGCACCGCCTGCTCTGGGTCCTCTCTGTGAACGGACCATACCACGTGTGGCCTCTGCGGACCAGCTTGGGCCACTCAGGCACCATGTCCTCGGGGTTCACCAAATGCAGCCTGTGTCAGCACCTCATCCTTTTGACAGCTAAGGGACACTCCGTCATGTGATGGCCACAGTGTCCAGCCAGCCATCTGTGGTGGCTGCTTGGGGCCCTGTGGCTGTGGTGAACATGCTGGGCGTCCACAGGCACTCTCCTGAGTCCCTGTCCTGGGCAGATAGGAAATGGAACCGCTGGCCACCAGTCTGCCTTTGTCAGCAGTGCACGAGGCCCTGCCCGCCGTCCTGGCCCGTCAGAGGGTGGGCCTCACAGGGAAGTCAGCCATGCCATCCAGGGGCGCTGGGTACAGATGCCAGTGTGTCTCCAACACCAGAGAACAGTGCCCTCAACCACGGGTCGCCCTGAACGTGACTCAGGTCACCTAGAAGCTTTGTGACACTGTCTTAGTGGGGTGGCACACTCCTATGATCCTAAAGACTAGAGAGGCTGAGCAGGAGGGTGGCAAGTTTGAAGCCAGCCTGGGCCACACCCTGTCTCACATTAAAAAATATAGTCTATAGTCCCAGCAGCTCAGGAGGCTGAGGCAGGAAGATCACGAGTTCAAAGCCAGTCTTAGCAACTTACCGAGTCCCTAAGCAACACAGTGAGATCCTGTCTCTAAATAAAATACAAAATAGGGCTGGGGATGGGGCTGGGTGGCAAAGCACCCCTGGGCTCAATGCTCAGGACTATAAACAAAACAAAACAAAAAAACATTGTCCTGCTGCCAGACGCCAGGGTCCGGGCTGGGCTCCAGGTGACCCACTGTGCAGCTGAAACTGAGCTGGCCAGAACCCTGGGCTCCACCTGCCCGGGCTGCCTGGCAGGAGGCAGCGGCCAGAACTCTTGGTGCTGCCCTCATCCTGCTCCAGACCGTGCGCATGAGTCAAGGGGCTGCAGCCGGATTCTGAGGGAGGAAGGAGGAGCCTGCTGGGTGCTGGTGGTCAGGGCCGCTCCACCAGCTTGGGCCTGGGCAGCCCAGGCCCCACTCAGCAGCCTGCACTGCTCTGACATTCACCTGCGTTTCCACTTTCACTGCTCCTGCAGGTTCCGTAGCAGATCCTGTGGGTGGCACCCCTTTCCTGCAGCGGGCAGGGCCCACAGAGTCTAGGCTGCAGCATCTCCCACCTCCACCTTCTGTGTCCCATCTGACAGTGGTGACAGGGACACAGACTGGGAGAGCCTGCACCCCAAGCACAGGAGGACCCGGGCCAGCAGCGAGGCCCAGCCCCGTTCCCCGTGTGGGGGCTGATTCTTCTCAGGGGCCTCGGGGTATGTGCCCGGGGCAGAGCGCTTGGGGCTGCACAGGGGTGGCTCCACCCTGGCCAGCTGCTGCCTAGCTTCGTGGCTTCTGAAGTGTCACACAGTCCTTTCGGAGCCTCAATCCCGCTGGCCACGCAGCTCTGCAGGTGAAGCTGAAGCTGGGGAGGACGGGGCAGCGTCCTCTGCTCTGAAACCGTGGGTTTCCCGGTCACCACCACCTGCCCTCACCTTCCTTCCTCTCAGCCACCTTCCTGACGCCACTGCACGGTCCCTGTAGGGCCTGCTCCAGTCCCCACCACCCCCCGCCCGGGCCTCACCTGTCCCCGTGAGGTTCTGGTGCAGAAGCGCATTCTCTATGCAGCAGCCGACGTTCACGCTGGGCGCCCAAGGGATCCTCAGGACGCTGACCACATCGTACAAGCCCCGCTGGTTCAGGGAGACCGTGTCATTATGCAGGGCCTGGTCCAGCTGGCTGTTGTCCGTCTTGTTGATCCAGTACACACTGGGCCTCGGGTAGCCGTCTGTAGACACGCAGGTGAAGGTGAGCTCCTGCTCTGCAGAGGGGCGGCTGGGCGTGCTGACCACCGGCATGCTGTAGTTGGCTGCAGGGGAGGGAAGGGGGTGAGGGAGGCCAGCTTCTGCACCTCAAGAGGCGGAGGGTGCAGGTGCCAAGGGCCAGGGCCGGGGACGGTGGCCCCTGTGGCCCACCCTGATAGAGCGGCCAGATCAGGGCTGTGGTCTGAGCTGCCAGCACAGGCCTGCATGGACACCCAACTGGGGAGCCACTGAGCCTAGCAGGCAGTGTCCTGTACCTAGGGCCAGTTCAGACCCCTCATTGGATCTAGTATTTCTCACCAGTGACACTGCCATCTCCTTGCTGAACGGTGCCTTGACTGTGGTTATCTTTAAAATTTCCTTGAATTCTGCTGGACGTAGTTGCACATGTCTATAATACCAGCAGTTTGGGAGGCTGAGACAGGAGGGTCACGAGTTCAAAACCAGCCTCAGCAACTTAGTGAAGCCCAAAGCAACTCAGTGAGACTGTCTCTAAATTTTATATACATATACAGAGAGTTCAGGGTTGTGGCCAGGGGTTAAGCACCCCTGCGTTCAACCCCCCAAATCCTGAAATTCTCATCTCATTTTGTGTTTTATAGCACTGTCTTCTAATTCATTTTGAAAAATCTAGCTCCAGCTGAAGAGTTCAAGGCAGCTGGCAAGGCTGGGGGTTCTGTGAAACCAGGGGGTCTCAGGTTGAAGTCCTAAAACTGACCAGGTTTTCACCCACTGCCTCACAGGTGGGAGAAACCCAGTAACCAAGACAGGACTTTCTTCCCTGAAGGGAGCAGGCTGCTGGGCCCCGGCTGGGTTCTGGGAGCCTTCTCCAGGTGGGTGAGACCTGCGCTCTGCTCTGCAGCCTCACCTGCCACGTGCAGTGTGACCACGGCTTCCAAGATCCTTCCCAGCTCTAAGGATTTCCTAAACACCAGGCACTTGAACTTCTGCTCGTCCTGGGGGGTGACATTGCGCAGGTGCAGGGAGAAGTCCCCCTGCTGCATGCTGTCCAGTGACAGGTGTGCCCTGTTCTTGTAGTGGCTGTCCTCGAGGCCTGTGGAGCTGTTCTCGGGGAGGTAGTAGGTCACCACTGCGTTTGACTCGCTGACTTGCCAGTAGACAAACAGGTCGTCTAGGTCGAAACGATCTGTTCCTGGGTAGACGCAGCTGAGTTTGACGTCACTGCCCACCAGGGCCCTGACTTCCTCTGCTTCAATAACTGCAAGAGTCCAAAGAGGAGATGGATATTCTGAGGGTGACTCCCAGCCCATGGAGTCACCCAGACTTCTGGGTTACAAGGCTCAGACCCTGATCCTGACACATTCAAGCAGAAAAGGAATGTGTTGATCAGCTCCACCCAGGAGGGCCAGGGGCCCAGGTGGCAGCTCAGATGCTCGATGTTGAGCCACCTGGCTCTGTTGTCCAAGGCCAAGACCTGGCTCTGACAGGGCACAGCTGGCATGCAAAGCCACCACTGGGGGCAGCCAGGAGGGTGCCTGGGCTGCTCTGCACTATTTCTAAAATCTGGCATGCAAAAGAGAACGATTTCTTGACATTATAAAGTCATTGTGCTCATGACAAAAGTTCACGCGACATACAGAGGTGCTACCATTTGCACAATCACTTAACTGCCTGGCTCAGACTGGAAGGCTTGGTGGGCCTCGGCTCTCTGCTGCAGGGCCACATCATTGCTTCTGCCTCTTTTCAAACCTCAGAAAGGCTGACTGGGACAGAGAGACTGGGGGACAAGAAGCCCCTGACTCAAAGGAACTGCATCTACCTACCCCGAGCATTAAATCAAAGAACTATGGCCTTTGGAAAGGCAGTGTCCTCTGCGGCCTTCTGTCCTGCACCAGCCTAGGTGTGAGGCCCAGAGGACCCTGGCAGGAGGTGGTGAGGACCTCCGGAGGCCCTGGGTGTGAGGCTCTCACAGCTCTGCATGAGGTCTGGAGTCTGGGTAAGGCTTGGCTGGGTAGAGCACCCTGCATGAAGCACTGACTCACCAGCTTGCAGGCCACTGAGGAGGAGCAACAGCAGGCCAGGACTGGAACAGAAATGAGGGAAGGCAGGTGAGCTGCAGGTCTCCGCTTCTCCTTCCCAGGAGCAGGGGTCCGCCCACGGGAGGCCCTGGCTCCGTCACAGAAATGTGAATTCACCGTCTGGAGAGGTCCTGGGCTTCCCTGCACGGGGAGCTCAGGGAGAGGGGCCGGACCACACCTCCCTGCCCCGCAGAGCAAGACCTCAGGGCTTCCAGCCAGATCCCCCAGACCACCAGGACAGTGAGTAAAGAAGGCTTGGGAGCCGCGGCCAGGTCCAGGCTTCTGCCTCCGCAGCCGCCTTTCTGGGGAACCACAAGAAACCGCGGAAGGCCGTGCGAAGCTGCTGCCGTCCCGGCTCCCACCGCCCCCTGCTGCGCGGCCCGCAGCACCCCCTTCCCTGGTTTGGAACTGTTAACGCGGAGGGGGGATCCCAGGTGTGTGGGGAGAGGCCGTGTCACTAAACAGTGGCACTTGCTGGCCTCCGAGGTGTCACAGGGTGTCACATCCTCCCTCCTTCTGGGAAATCAGCGGAGCAGCGGAGAAGGGCGGCTGGCGGTGCCCGCGCCGGGGTGCGCCTCCCGCTCTGCGCGTAGCCTGCTCGGTCCCTGCCTCCGCACGGCCGCCTGGCACGCCCACGCCCCGCCCGCGCGCCGGTGCCCTCCGCCGGCCCAAGCCGCCCCCTGCCGTCCACCCGCGCTTCCCTCCTGGGCCTGCAGGTGAGCCCGCGAGCCCCGTGGGAGCCGCCCGGAGCTGGGGACGCGCGGGACCGCTGCCTTCGGGGCGCTGTCGGCCCCACTTCGGGCGGGGACACCGCGCCCTGCCCGCGCTCCCTTCCCCGCACCGCAGGGCGCGGCCGTAGGGGGGCTCACCTCAGCAGCATGGTGGGCACCGCGACCTGGGGCGCCGAGACCTCGGGCGCCGAGACCTGGGGCCGCGGAGACCTGGGGCCGCGGAGACCGGCTCTAACTGCGTTCCCAGTTCCCAGGGCGTCGCGGAGGCTCTGAGCGCCAGCGCGCGGCCGCCTGGGTGCAACCCTGGTCCCCGCCCCCGGCCCGGCCCTCCCGGACCGTGACCGCCCCCGGGAGGAGGCGGGGCGCGGCGGAGAGGAAGGTCGCCCTCTGGCTCCACAAAGTTAATCTCTACCCAGGCCCGCGTTCCAGTCTGCCCAGTGCTGGACAGGGCCAGGTCCTTCAGGTCACGGGGACACGGGCCAGGGCTGTAGGTGCCCGGGGAAGTCCCGGGAGGGTAGCTGGGATAGAGCGGCCAGAGATGTGGCGGTTGGGCCCTAGGACACTGAGCTTTCCCACCGCTGCGCTGCCCAGACTGGTCCCCACCCTGGCCCAGTGTTCTAGCCCTGCCTTCCCTGAGGGTGAGTTATGACAAGCCCCAGAGCTGAGCCAGGGGCCCAAAGTAGACTTCTCCAGGTGGACAGTAGGTGAACCACACCCGATGACTGTTTAGGACTGGACCAAAGGCAGGGAGGGCAGGCCTGAACTGACACCCCCTGCACACCCAGTTTGTTCCCCTAACCTTTGTGGGGTCTGATGGGCCCCCTGGTACAGCATCTTTGCATACGAGAGGCTCTGAGAAGCCCACTGCCTGGACCTGGGTAGACCTTGACTCCTGTGCTGGCCAGTGTTGTCTGGCACCTGGTCTGCGGGAGACTGCTGAGCTCTGGGCTGTGGAGGAGGCCCACTTGCTCCCCCCCCCCCCCCCCCCCCCCCCCCCCCCCC